TAGTCCCTTTAAGTAGATAGAATATAGGGTTTAGGGTTTGGGGTTTAGGGGTTATAGTCCCCCTTAAGTAGATAGATAAGGTTTAGGGTTTAGGGTTTGGGGTTTAAGGTTTAGGGTACATATTCCCCCTCAAGTAGATAGAATATGGCTTTGGGTATCTTATGATAAGATCCCCGTATAAGCCATATGCTATCTACTTACGGGGGGCCATGCATTGTATAAGGTTTAGGGTTTAGCCCCCAAAGGGTCCGTGTAGCTATATGGCTAGATGCCAAAATTAGAGTCCCATTTGGGTACCCCTAAATGCTAGGTGCCGAAATATATTCTATAGTCAAAAGGGGCCCATAGTTTGAGAACAACCCATATAGTATAGGGTTTAGGGTGTAGGCTTTGGGGTTTAGGGTCTTTATGTATAGTGTTTACTTGGGCCCTAAATTAGCTATATGCGAACCCTTTTGGGCCCTAAGCTTATGCCATATTGCTACATGGAATCTTGGGCACCAAAGGTGAGGAATTTGGTGGCTTTGTGACATTCAAAAAAAATCTACATGCCTTTCAGAAAGCATGACAAAGGTTACAGGAGGTAGAACTCTTAACAAGAAACATCGCAATCGCTGTCTTGGAAAAGACGGTTCCTAGGGTCAGAACACAGCACTTAGGCTGACTTGAGGTTGCAGTGGCACATTAACATGCAGGGCCTTAATACGGCACCTCAGAAGGACCAGGCATGACTTCTCAAAACCTCTGAGCAGACAAGACCGTGATGACCCCAGGCCTCAGAGCAGACCAGACCGTGACACCTTTAAGACTCTGGACTGGATCAGACGGCACCTCAAACCTTTCGACCGGAGAAGACCGTGACACCTTAAAAGCTACGACCGTACAAGACACTCGCCTTAAAGCCTCTGAGCAGACAAGACCATGACACCTTCAAACCTCTGGGCGGAACAGAGCATTACGCCTCAAAATGCTTGAAACTAGACTGTGAATTCTTAGAGCCCTTTAACGGACCAGACCGTGACACCTGAGACCTTTGAGCGGACAAGACCGTGGCAAGTTAAACCTGTGAACAGACCGAATCATGACACATTAAGACCCCTGAGCGGCCCAGACTGTAACACCTGAAAGCCTTTGAGCGTCAATCGGACAAAAGCCGTCAACGTGGGCAAAAGACAGGTGGGCACGAGTAACACTCTGAGGCATGTAGTAGGCGCATGTGCTGCAAGTGCCTACACCTATGAAACACCTAGGGGTTAGCATTTGCAAGAAGTGCACGTGGAGACCGCTGTGCGCTACTGGTGCAGGGCCCATGGTCAATGATTGGCTTTGCATGCCGGAGCCATCCATGAATTCTGCATGGCAGACTTTTGCATGCGATTCTGCGCCGCAATGGCAATTGGCTCCCGCACCTGCTGTGCCGTTCCACTGCAAGCTGACACATATCCCAAACGCCTGTGTGACGGCTTCAAATCAATTCGGTGCCAGTTTGGCCACAATTTCATGGAGGCTGCTTATGCAATGGACCTCATGCTATCTGGCATGCAGCCTGTGCAGCCAAGAAGCGAATTGGGAAAGGGACGCGCTGGATCTTGACTTGATGACCTTGCTTGAAGACGGTTCCGTTGTCGGGGGCTCTAGCGGCTTCGGGATGCCTTCAGCTTTGCCCGAGGGCACCAGGCCCATAGACAACACCTACATTGGGCCCCAAAGTCTATAGATATGACCTACATTGGGCTATCTGGAGCCCTGGGGTTACCTGCTTGCTAGAACCATCTCTGAAGCCCGTGGCAATTGAGATTACACGTTTTTCTAAAGGGTCCAGTTGCACTACCGGTCTTGGGGAAGTATGCTGGCTCCATCCCGAGGTTTCGCCACACCTGGGTTTTTGCTGTTAAGGAACTTAAATT